CCCCAAAACCCCAAAACCCCAAAACCCCAAAACCCCTTTTCCAGGGGTTTAGTTGAAGATAATAATTTAAAAACTTACTATAAACCGCTGATGGAAGATACAATCCAGTGTGGTAGATGATCCCTTCCTATTTATCATAGTGATGCAGGCGGAGACATTAGTAAGCACCTCACCTTCCATCACCTCATTTCCTAATAGGTTCATCGATGAAACTACATGACTGAGTGACAGAGCTCTTAGTTATTTTACAGAAAGTTATAGCGGTGAATAATAAGAATGAAACTAAGCTGAAGGTAAGAGGGGTTAAAGTGCTTTGATGAGGGAGGTTAGATCCTCTGTTTGTTCAGATTTTGATCTTGGGATATTAATGCTATTGTAGGAATGCACAAGAATGATAGAAGAATTCAAACAAGCCAAAAATTATCAGTTTCCTGATGATGCTCACCATGAAAGTGAACTTGAATATCTGAGAAAGGAAAGAGATAGACTTTTTGAAGAAAATACTCTACTCAAATATGGCATGGGTGGGCAATCCCAACAAATCCAGCCTGAGTTTGCCATTGAAGAAGGCCAATCACATAATGATTCATTCGTATCCAGAGTTTCCTCCCTTCAAATCAGTGGAGACTCAATTCACAGTGATTCTGTAAGATTGGAAGATAGATCAGGACCAAACAGAGGGTCAGTTTTACAAACAGGTAACAATATGGAAGAGTTTCCCTCTCTTGGAGGAGGGAATGATCCAGTTTCAACAAACTCAAAAAGGTCTTCTAAATGGGATAGTGGTCCTAATCTCAACAATATCATGAGGAAGCCTAACAATAAGAAGCCAAAGAAATAGCCATGGATATAATAACTCTAATATGAGAGATTCCAATTTCCCGAGCTTAGAGCCAAGCATTTTCAAGGATAAAGAGCGCAGAGATCCAAGAGAAGAAACTAAGATGCAGCCACCAACGAATAAGAAAGCAAGAAATAAATGGGGAGAATATGGTAGCGAACATTCTGATGAGAGTGAGATTGAGCTGAAGGTAAGTACCAATGAAAGTTTAAGGAAGCTTGATGATAGAAATAAGCCTTAATAAGACTTTAGAGACTTTTTAAATAGATTTTGCATCTTCTAATAATTCTTCGAAGATTTTTAATAAAATAATCCTGACCAATACCTTGCCAAAATTTTTACAAAACTCTTTTAAAATAATTCTAACCTAAGTTTAGATTAAGAAGTTAAAATAAGAGAGATAATAAGAAAAAGAACAAAGCTAAAAATAAGAAAAAGCCTCATGAATATATCGAGCCGAATAGTAATAGATACCAGAGTTATGAGAAACCTTACGATATCATTGATGTAGACAATGGCAACGATTGGGGTGCTGAAGGGGGGAACTCTAGCTATAGCAGCTCCAACACTAGTCAATACTACGGGAAACCTAAGAAATAAATAATAGTGCAAAGGATTCTCCAAGATTATCTCAGAAATGTGCAGATATAGCTATTCATTTTTTTAGTCAAAATCTTGGAAGAATTTGTAGGAAGCCCCTAGAGATAGAAGTCAAGCAAGAACTTCTTGTAAGCCGACTTATAGACTCCTGAGGCTAATTTATTTTTTCCAATATTCCATGGATTTAAAGGGGTTTTGGGGTTTTGGGGTTTTGGGGTTTTGGGG